GCAGACGGAAGAGTTACAAAAAAGACTAAAAGTTTGACGTCAGAGACCTGTATTTATCAAATGCTAAAAATCTTCCTACTCAAGTAAATTCTGCTATCGTAAAGACAAAGCTCTGTCCACGGTATATCAGACATTTTAAGGTTGTAGCCAAGCGTGGCCTTGTTTCTACGCGAAATCTTCCGAAACGGATGCGCACCCAACCGGTGTTTATGTGGGCTTGCTACAGCCGTTGCGGGATCCGGCGCAAGCGAACGAGGAAACATTGGCGCCGGAGCGACACCCACAGGCGCTCGACCATCCAGAAGCTGGACTAGCAACTCTCCAACGGCGCCAAGCGCTCCACCTTCACATGAAGCGACGCATTCGTCTGCTCAACGGCTAGCAGCCGCTCCAACAGAACGCGATGGTACTCAGCGTGAGGTCTCGGTGCACAACGTGCTTCAAGCTCTTGAGGTCTTCCGTGTAGCGATATGCGACCCAGCATGACGCTCAGCGAAGTCCCGATCGAGACGGACCTCGTCCTCAAATGGTCGAAGAGGATCGCGAGTCTTCGGACGGCGATCGACCCAGTCGTCGTCGTCCGCCCCTGACTCTTCTCGACGACAAATATTGGTCTCCACTATCACGTGGAACGTCTTGTGAGCTAACGCCGTCGCCAGGGTAAAACCCGGTAACTTGTGAATTTGCGGAGGAACCCCGATCTCGAGAACAAGTGGGAGTTTGAAGTGCCACTTTGGCAAGCGCGTAAGAGACCCACACGCACGTTCGTCTACTTGTGGCTCAAATAAAAGTTGTGCAGCGAGAAAGTTTTCGGTGCCGCTGCATCCGTTGCTCAAAGAGCTCTTCGTCATCTGCAGTGGGTTCGCCAGGGACAAGGACCACAGGAATCGTCCGTATCGCGGTTACAGGAGCACCCCCCCCTTTGAGCTTGAAGTCGATTGCGGTGAGCTCGGAGAGCTGTTTGTCGTCAAGATCAGCTTGTGTAGTGGCTGGAGGCTCGACCACGTTGACGCCCAGCGATCGAGTGATCGTGTCCTTTGCTTTGTAGCGGGATCCGCCAAGCGGAAGCCGTATTTTACACGAGGGTCAAGGATCGGCCGTGGATGCACGCGCATAAGAGTCACTCTGCGGGCGTCCTCCAGCTGCTGCTTTAGTCTCTCGTCGAGGTGATTGGTAATGATACCTCTTCCCCCGGAAGTCGAGAACTCAGGAAAATGGCACGGCGTCCAAAAGGCTTGAGCAGGGCTCACGTCGCGCCGCTGGGCACCTTGCCATCTTATTCTTCCCATCCTGGGAAAGGAATATCCGACTCGTTGTTCACTTCCTACAAATCCTCGACGAGGTAATCCATCGACCGTGGCGGGCGCGACTCTGTTATCGATAGCTTGGGCTGCTCTTCCCTTGAAACCACGGACGTTCTGTTAGGAGTTGCACCGCGTCAGGAGACGAAGAAGAATCCACCCGCAGGCGTTCTCGAACCAATGAGGCTGAGTGTCTTACGTCCCGTTGACACAAGACTCATTGGGAAAAGAATTTGTGACGGAGGTCCCGGTGATGTTGTGGTGTCTTAGACGCGCGAGCCTCATTCTAGGCGACAGTTGAATGCGAACTGTAGGTGCTCACAATCTTGATGGGGGAGAGTGTAACGGGGGTTTCACGTGCCCTGGTATGAAGGGTGTGGGTCACACAATGGTGTGGCTGCACTTAAACAACATATCGGTTGTGGCTGGAACAGCCAGTAGTTATGTATTTGATTAGGTTTCACTATTAGGATATGAAAACCTATAGATTTAGATATTGGTGTCTTTACCGCAGATAAAGCACAAAAATACACTTTACACGTTAATGAGCCTTGAGTCTAGGCTGCAGTTACTCTTGGAATAAGCGGATTGCGAACCGCTCCACTCGCACTGGATCTTTGTATAGAATGAAGGTTGCGGACCTAACTTAGCTTCCTATAAGCAAAAAAGCTACGGCAGCCCCGCTGTGAACTGACTAAACTCCAAATCCTTCTGTCTATATCACGAAGTAGCTCCGGTCTGGATACCAATACAATTCTACCAGGTAATTTCAGCCCAGCTGCACCTTGTAGTTATATCAAAGATTATATCTCAATGATGTTGAACGTCATGCGCCGGCTGCTCGATGCTACGACAGAGATGCATAATATTTCAGAACAACACGCTGATTGCAGAAGCGGGTAAAAAAATTGTTATGCTGTACAGAAATTGAATTTATCGATCGCTTTCAAAAAAGCTGTCTGCGGCTCGAGAGACAAATTTTGACCACATTGCACCAAGCCATAGAAGTTTACAGCGAAAACGAGTTTGACTGATAACTTTATCGATTTGAGATTGCTTTCAAACCCTGCGTTTGATTTGAGCTTCTTGATCCCATGTCACAATACCGCTCTTTCGAGCCAGTCGCTGTGAACAGCTCTGTTGTAAGCAGAACAACCTCTTTACCGTCTCCAAGAGCTGTGTCAACCTCCTCTAAAGCAGCGATGTGATCTGAACTGCTTAGGGTGCCTAAAAAATGCAGAGTAACGAAGATTATCGAAGAGTGCAATCGAATTGTGAGTCATTTCGGTTTTCGACGCACACCACGATTGTCGTGGTGAGTCGACGCGCCTCCACATCCGAGAGAGAATACAAAACAAAGATCTTCTGCTTGATAGCAAAGGGTTGTCCGATTCCACATCATTAGGTTCGAACCGGTGGGTACATCAGGGCTGTTGCATGTATTATGATACATGAAAGGTTTCTTTGATCTGAACGTACATGAGTGTTTGATGTTTCTTTTCTGCAAGCCATTGCCGTTTACAACTTGTTGTACTCTTGAACTATATTTATTCACAACAAACGGCGTTGCAGCTCGTCGTAGGACATTTTTTACAAGCGAATGGATTCAACCTATTATACGTTTGACACTTCGCTGACAGCTGTGATAACTGTCACATAAAGAGATTGTCGACAGCAAGTATTGCTTGTGCTCATTTCCACTTCGACTTTTTCGTCTTTAGTAATTGACGCTCTAGTCAAAATCCGCATAAATGAAGGTGGTATACAGTGCTATGAGACGGGTAAAATGACGCATTCTCCTTTCTAGGTGCGCGTATAAAAAATCGGTGAAATCGGCTCATGACATCCCTTCAGCAATTGCTATCCTTATTCTATCACCAAATGTGCTACATGTTTCCTCAATGACCGATTCAAGTGAGGCAAATGATCAGCTCAGCTTCCCATACCAACCGCACCATTTCGGATATTTATCCATCGTAAAGATTTTTGCACACGTCCCAAGGGTAATTTACCACGCATTGCGAGAGCTTCGAACTGAGGTAGTAAGAAGAAATGTGAGCCCCTAGATCTAATCCTGTTTATACAATAATATGTGACCAACGAACCACGCTTCAAAACCATGAAGCTCCACTGCTTCGCACGACAATAAAACCACTTTGAAGCGCTGACCCAGCGGTACCGTTATATCTGGACAACGAAGAGTCATCTTCAACAATCTTGTGGCCTGGTCCGTTCGCTGGTAACTAACTTCCGTCTCTCAAACGACCGCAACACACAGTCGCTCTTCTCTGGCTTGCTGAATGAAATATTTACTCTGGGAGCACAACATAGAGTAATTTAACCATATTCTAGCGGATACTAACCCTAGATATCCTAATATTCTTTCGCTACTTTCCATCTCATCAGAGACCGCGACTTCTTACCATTCTTACTTCCCAACTCTGCTCAAGAACAGACCCGCCTCTCGGACTGGAGTCACCGTGGCTTCATACACGGCCAAAAGCCCGTTTGGTTTCTAGTAACGGCGGGATTATCACTAACGAACTTCATCAGATGCGGAGCTTCAATGCTTCCGCATACTGCCTCGTACTTTTGACAACCGTTTGACGTATGTAGTTGTACGACGTTTCTGATCTACAGAACGTTCCACGTCCCGAAACGTTGATGCTGAAAATCAGGAGCCCTGAGTCGGGGGGACTACCTCTTCCAAGCCGGTCGCTTTTGCTGGGGCTTGGTCCTGATCGACCACGATTTCCACGCGGTAGAGTAGAACTCAATTTGTTCAGGAGGCCGCGCAGCGTCTACTTGGACTCGGCATTTCCCCGCCAGACTTCGACGGACAACCTTGTGGGGAAGTCGACCCTTTGTATATCTCGGCCGATATAGACGAAACGCAAAGCAAATATGCTTCGTACTACTACAAATAAACGAATTGCGGCGAGCCCGGGGTCAGAAAATATCATTCTTCCTCAGCCCAGCTAGTGTCCGACACTTCTGATGCGCTTGTAATGCTATTAGTTTATGTTCGGCTCTAGCTGCACGTAATCTGTGCTTTGCAATTAGTACGACACCCATCGAATTGTGGAGAAAAGGTTAGGTGGAGGCGGATTTAGTGCAAGCTGCCTCTGTTCGTTGAGCCTTAATGACGATGGTAAATGTCATCACCCAAGTCAGTGAAGACTTTATCTGGCCCTTACGCCACCAGTTCCGTGATCACGTCAGGCCTAGCGAGAACATGTGATTACCAAGTGTGTTTTGCTGTCTTCGTAAAAGACATGTGAGCAAATTGTGTTTCAATCGAACCGAGATGCAATCCGAGAAGACTCAGTCGTCGGGTTAACGCCTAAAGTCTATTGCCAACTTCAACGGCGTTGCCGTGCATTTGTGATGTAGAAAACTTCGACTTATAATCGCCGCGCTAATTGATGCTCATAGGATACCCCTCTCTCTCTCATTCTATCCTTTACAATTTGAAGGTCGTCTAAATAAATCAACGGGAGCTCCAAAGTGGTCAAGAACTTAGCTTACTCGTTTTATCCCAGTAAAAATGGAGATGTATAGTCTATTACAACTAACACTAAATTTATCGGTTTTACTATACCCAATAAAGAATTGACATGCTACGTCCTCTCCATTAAGAAGTTCAATCGTCCTCATCATAAACAATACTTTGGCATCGAACGATTACATGACAGTGTAATGCATATGCTGTACAATTGCACAGAAGAATACTGCACAGAACTGTTATGCGTACGTACACAGTAGCATACTATTATCCCACCCCAATGAGATTGAGGAACTTATGATATTCGCGCAAGCGATTCAGGATGAGAGCCACGCGAACCACCGAATCGGTAGGGATGTGTTCAATCCGCACAAAAAAAACCATAATTGAGGAGAGGTTCGGCACTTGTTGCGCAGCTGCACAAGACCTTACTCTGCGGCTGAACTGTCAAGTGACCCATAACAATATTTCATTGTTTCGTCGATTTTTCACATTCCGCGACTTGAAGATGCAGTCTCGAATCGAGTGATCGAGTTTCGCTCGGTAAAATTTCTTTTCAACCAGTCTGCCTGTATTCTCTTTGGAATTATCCTCACCTTGTTATCAGGCATTTTGTTTTTTTATCAGGATCTATATGAAATTGGTACGTGAGATGTTAGAGCTAAGGATCATGGGCTGCACTCATAAGAAAGCGTTGCATCGACATAAAGCTTTGGTACGTTTAAATGCAAGCGCTACAATAGAAGGAGCATGCTTGAAATTGTATGGACAGGACAGGTGAATGTACTTAAAAGATCAAAACCATGTTGGTTGTTAGTGAGGATGCCTACACCAGTACCATGGCATTAAACATGACCAGTCTTAATGAAATTACCAGCTCGTTTACCTCCCCTTTCGACCGTGTGTTTTGCGTTTTGAGCATACTCTGAAATTTTATGAACCTTGTGCTCAAACGACTCTTGTATGCCATGCTTTTCTCGTTGCAAACCCTCGGTAAAAAGGTGATTATCAATCTTCTTATTCTCTTCGGAAATGTGATTCATCTTCCTGAACGCTGATCTGATCCTCCCCATTGCGTTATAGTACATTCTTCGAGAGCCTCTCTTAAAGCCTCTGAAATGTTCGCGTATATGGTACCACTTCCTCGACGCTGGTGTTTCGACACCGAACATTCTCTTGAGCAAATGTACAAGCCAATCATAGGACGACTTCAAATAGCTATGAGCTTGATGGATTATCGGCCAGGCTCGTTCTTCTTCAGCTTCGCCAACTGACTGAGATTGCGATTGCCTCGTGTTAACAATTGCATTTTGAGGCTCAGTCAGCGCAGTGGACGCATCAATAATGTCATTCTTGGTTTTATCTAAGGTTGTCGACGAGGTTGTACCATTTGAGACCGCAAAGACTGCAACGACAAACAATGTAAGGAGGTAGCGCATGTCGAACAACTATCAGGTGTGTTGTTCAAGAAAACAAGTTGCGAAGTGATGTCGATTGATAGCGGGATCGAGATGTCATTCTGACTTTTCCTTGATGCTGGGAATAATATGTTTCTAATGTAGGAGAGTAGCGAATTCAAGAAAATCAATTTCTTTTGCAAGTTTGTACATTTGGAAATGATCAGCTATACCGAAATTTACGGCTACATCAAGATAAATGGTTTTCGTATCAAATATATACTTTTTCCGAAACAATGAAATGTGACTCTATAATTTCTCACATCACACATTGAGATACCGGATATATACGGATATCTTCTGTACTGGAAACTATAAAGCCCAAATGACTTTTTCATGTGACGAGATAATATTACTCGCTTTTTTCAAAATGTGACAGTTTGGTCCTGATTACTATTATCTCACAATGATCAAAGGTTTGTTCTACAGCGAGTTCGACAACGTAGCGGGGCCTGTAATCGTCTTTCAGGCGCCAAAAAAGTATGTATAGTCTCTACCTCATCGTGTTACTCCTTGAAACTGCTTATTGTCTTTAAAGTGTGTTGAGCAATGAGGTTTTCGATAGCGTGTCTGGCTACATCATTATCGACAAGGCTTTATGTGGAAAGATCATTACGGGTCCACAATATGTTCTGAGTTTTTATATAGGGATCATTTCGACTCATATGTTGATATAAATTAACAGTGCGAGCCCACCACGTGAAAATTGTGGGATACCCTGTGTGCATTGAGGATGACAAGTATCATCGCAATGCGCTTTTATTTAATATTGGTATGAGCAGACGTCGCACACCATGAGTTTATCTTAAGATAAGCCGCAACCTTTTGTGGGCAGGTTTTGTGTTCGATGAGCATGTGGAGACGATGCCGTACCGACCAATATTGCGAAAGGTTTGAAGTTTCAGTTATAATCATTGAGTGTAAGTGATAATAATTGATCACTTTAGCTAGGAGCATTGGTAGAAGGGATGGAAAAGGAAAGCGGTTTTCTCTACAATACAGAAAAGAAGGAGATGCTTGGAACAATATTACCACAAATTTTAAGGGACTTAACGTTGCATGGAGAGTGCACTATTCCGGTGGACACTGCAAACATAATAAACTTGAAACTCTTTCCAACATTGCAAGATCCTGCATCAGTTTTTGAGTACCAAGTGCCAGTTGCGATTCGTGACCTTCGTGCACTCCTTGAAAATAGTGGTGCGTAGTTGGAATGTGTTGTGAGGTAGGTGGAAGCACTGACCCCGAAGCTTACGCTCTGAGAATAATAGCAGAATGGGACTTGGCTTTACAGCAAATTGTGCCGTTCGTCGATGGCGTTCGGTACGTAAAACGCATCAGTCTGGAAGCTGATGTAGATATTGCTATCGTCAAAAAATGTGTACAACAGCTTCTGTACTATGGCTGTGTCACTTTAATAGACATTTTTCTTCATTCAAACATCTACACCACAACGACGAAGATTGCTGGGCTTGCAAGTGATCCCGAATTGCAAGCCGAGTGCGCTGTCTACATCGTAAAATCCGGGCGTACACCGCCATCATTCGCACGAATATTTGCGCTGTATTGTTCTGTCCAGCCAAGCTTGCGAGTAAGCGATTTCTGTGTCGTATATTCTGAGTCACTTGCACATATCGACGTTCGGCGTTTTATTACGTTCGGTCTCATCCATGGCTTTTTAAGACGTGTGCACCGCTTTCCGATCTGTATCGACCGCAAATCGCCCGACTCGAGTCCACTGCAACAGCATCAATCTCAACAATCGCAGCAGGCTCAGCAGCAAAGCGGACAGCAAAAAGGTCGTTCTTACGCCTTGTCTTCCACCTCTCCATTACTGTCTGGATTGAATTCCGTGAGCGTTGCAGCTTCATCGACTCTGCCAGGGGGCGGAGTTGGCGGAATGAATGCAAATGGCGTTAATAGCACCTCAAATGGACTTGGGAGTAATGTTCTTTCAATGTCATCAAAACGAGCGCTAATCAGCAAGGCTAATCATATAGAGAAGGACGTCCTTCGATTGATGGACGGCAGCCACCATACGGACGAAATATGTACCAAATATTCACTGCGCTATACTGATGTCGAGTCCATTATTCAGGTGACACCCCACTGCTTTGCTGTGCACAAATAAGATTGAACCGAAAAAACATCGATACATCTACCAAGGTCTCCCGTATTACTTCTTTTACAATACGACACAAAACAGACAAAATTCTTTATTTTACTCCATCCAGAAGCCCGAAATTTCCATGTTCATCACAAGTGTCAAATAATTAATCATTTCTTCCTTTGTGTGATAAAGGGGTAAGTCGATTCGATTGAAACACGTGTGGCCTTTGGGCATGAGGCCTGTAGGTGGAGCACCACGTTGCACAAACTGTATAGTGAAACGCCGAACACGACCGTCACTGCTTGTGAGGGCCTTAAAACCCTGGATGGGAACACGAGACGTGCCAGTGGCAAATTGCAGCAATCGAGCACGCTCCTCGCTAGTGAACTCCCGCATGCACTCCCAAAACCACTTAAGTACGCGGTTTTCTACCGGAGTCGACTTCTCAAGCTTAATCCAGCGCACTTCACTATGTGTGTGCCAGTCATTCACATCGAGTTCCGGTACCCCAGAAAGCAAAAGATCAAACTCTTGGTAGTCAAAGACGGTAATTAAGAATTGAGGCATGATGTCATAAAAACCCATGAGCAACGCACCCAGCTGTTCGGATATACTCTCAAACATGTAGTGCTTGAGCAGCAATTCCAAGTACTCCTCCTTGTTTTCATCTGTTACGTCACGGGCAGCACCGCCTGGAACAAGTTCCACAGTGTGCGACTTGCCCTCAGAAGTAATCACCTGCACCGTAAAGTCGATCGCGAGCAAATCCGCATGATCGTTATGCTTCATCCACATGGCATTCTTATACAGATCTTCGTCCAGAAATTCGAGATCAGAAAACGAAATAGGCACACCCAAAATATGCTTGATCAGTGGAAGCGCAAGAGACATTTTCATGTTGTAGCCTTCAATCAATGCCTTTGCTAGCAATCGACCAATAAATTCATAGTGTTCCAAATGATTCGGTACCTTGGAAGCCGACGCGGGGTTGATCCAATAACCCATATTCTCGCCTTTCGTTGCAATAAACAGACCATAGTCATCGTTAAATAATGAGTCGCTCAAAATCTCATACCACTCGCGAATCAATCCACCAGCATCCAATCCCGGCTCGTTTTCGAAGTATATACGTAAACGTTCCCAGAATCGACTGGGTGGACACTTAAGCATCTGTTCCATTGAATCGCTTACCACATGCTCCCGCCTGACAACAAATTGAATATGTCCCTCTTCATAGCTACGCCAACGCTTTTGCACTTGCTCAAGAAACCAGCGATTCTTATCGTGGAAGGTTAACGACGCAATCTCCTCGAGGTCATCCTCGCATTCAATACGGCGGCTAGTATCCGAGTAAGCAATTACTGTTCCAGCAGGAGTCCACTCAAAGCCGCCTGCACCATTTTCATGACGCACGTAGCCTGTTGAGACTGTTGACAAGGCGGTATCGTTCGACTCGAGAAAGCGACGATCTTCAGCCATTCCTAGTCCTTTCATTCCAGAAACAAATTTACCGTCGACTGTGCCTTCTCGATCTTCATTTATCTGATTTAATCCTCGAGTATTTGCGAATGGGTTAGTTGTACTTCCAGAAAGCAGGATTTTACTGCTGCTTAGACCAAACGGGTTCACGCCACTGTTTGCTCGGTTAAATGGATTTTGTTGCGAATAAAATGCCATGGTCGGACGCTCTTCCGCCTCCTCAAGAAGTTGCAAGGCTGTAGCACGTAGTGGCTGGAAAGACGGACGACCTAAGTCGTTTTCAGTCGATAAGAACGAGCTGTCTGGATGTCGTCCTTCCTCTTCCGAGACACCAAAGTCTCGCAATGCGCGTGCAACAATCTCATTGTCTTCCTTCAATGAAGACGTTGACGAGACGCGACTAGTAGTGGATGTTAGAACAAAGTCGTCGCCTCCTAGTATTGCTGTGCCATTCGTTGGAGTACTCAGTCCAGCGTAAACAGAGTCGCTACTCTTTTCCTTGCTCATGGTGTTTTGCTTTGCATCGATACGTACCCAGCGCATGACGCCATCTTTCCCGCGTTTACGCTTCCAAACATGACGACGCATCGCTGCCTTTTGCCGTGATGTGAGATCCATTTGCTTTAGTCTTCGGACGTGAAAACTACGCACTCGTGACTGTTGATTCAGCATACTCTGACTAAAATTCTGTTTGTGAAGCCCTGAAGCTCGCGCAAGATTAGACGGGGTCGTAGCCGTGACGATACGAGGCGTGCCACACATAACGCAGCTCGTTTTATCCGGATGATTATCGTGAAAGCATATAGAGCAAGGCCATTCTTCCTCTCCACGCTGTAGAAAACTGTCTACGAGATGATGTCGCATCATGTTGTTATTCTGATTGTCTCTAGCCAAAAAACGTTCAATCTTTCGTGCATAGCTCCAGTAATACCAAATGGATCCGCATAATATCACCAGTGCCAGCACTAAAAAAACATATACTAGCGCTGCCATACCAGAACTCAGCTCCTGTCCAAAGATGGCCGTCATTCCGTCCCCTCAAATACCGATATCACGTCGGTTTGGTGTTCCCTTGGACTATTTGCAGAATGAGACTTCAGAACAGTCGCGCTTTTTATGATACTGGTAGGTTTTACATGTACTGACTCCAGGCTTTTTCATCCAATGAAGAAAAGAGCCGTAAAATATTATAGCCGGAGGGTTTAGACTTTAGATAACGCAGCCAAGGTGGTGGTTATTAGTGCGGCGAAAGTCCGCTGGTCTGAAATGACGTGCATAACGCCCGTCGCTGCATTTCATGAATTGCGGCCATTAAGGGGCTTACCGTCACAGAGATAGCAATATATATTTTTTACAAAAAACTTCAAAATGAAGAATCAGAAGTTTGGCTTGCAAGCACCACCATACGTATTTTGATCAAAGAATTCCCTTGACACCCGTCCCTTCTGAAAATAATATAACGGTAGAAAGTACAATTGAAAGTGCGTATTAAATTATGTGCGTCACATAGCCTCAAAAATCCAAAACATGAAACCCATCATGCAGCTTGTTCAGGCTCGCATGCAACGTTGGCACCTCTTGGGGCGTTACTATGTCAACAAGTGGCGCTACGACAGCTCTAAGTGGGCAGATCGCATATGGTATGGTAAGGGAAGAATTGAAAATGGCTCAAACGTTGCCTCCGTTGCCTTTATGATCACGCGTAATATGCGGCAACAGCTCCTGGATGCGGGTTTCCCGGCATCGACCATTTCGACACTGCAGCCAGCGACTGCACATCACATCATCTCGAAAAAGATTTTGTTTTCTCAGTTTGAAGATATTCGCAAGGAACAGCAGGTCGAGCAAGCAGCCGAGAGGTTGAGCGCAGAGGTCGCAGCCGATGGCAAAAAGAAATCGGAGCAAGATGCACCATCAGCTGTGGTTGTCACCAAAAGCACGGCTGTTTTCAGTAAACATCATATCGGAGCTTCACCAAATTTACAGCGTGTAAAAATTTAATGCAAACTGCGGCATTTAATGTAATTTAAACAAAAGGCACGATTTTGACACAGACATCATCTTGCTGGACAAGAATTGCATCATGTTAAATTAAACTAACTTGATCGACACATCTACAGGCAATAAGCAGTGAGCATGATCAGATCTTTTTTTTCACTTCCTTAACAAAGTCTTGATGTTGGTTAGTCTCATTTATTGGAGTGAGATAAAAAACCATTAGCAGTTGCAACACCCACCATAACGCACAAAAGGCGCATCCGTAAATGAAGCGAAACCCTGTCCTCTCGGTAAAGTAGATCCACAGAAAAGTGCATATCAAGTAAAGAAACGTAACCAGCCAATAAATGCGGTAAAAGGCGCTGCGCAGGTCGTCGTATTGTAGATTTTTTTGCCATTTGGAACGGTGAATCGACGCTAACACGCCATGCTCTAGAGCTTGTGTTGTCATGGCCAGCACTAGCACGATAGCAGCCATTGTTGTAAGATAAATAGCTGCAGGAGAAAGGTGCAATGCCACTTTAAATACAAGTAGAGTCATATCCGACACCAATCGCGATGCCAACCAAAGCAGCCCCATCGAGTTTAAATTTATAAAAACACTAAATGATAAAACATTAAAAAACAAAAAGAATATGAACTACGATATTATGCATGTATTGAGGAGCATATAAACACCGAGCTATGTCTTCAAATCACAATTGTCTCAACGTCTGGGGAGCAGCACGCTAAGGTAAATGCAGCGTTTCGTTATCGCTATCGAAGAGACACGACAATGTACAAGCAAGTCTTGCTGTTTTGTACTTGAAAAATAGTTCTAATGATTGATGATCAATTTAAACATCGAGACCAACAGCTCAAATGTATGAGAGTACCGTCATGTATCGATCAACTCAAAAACATCGCAATGAAAGAATGTTCTGCAAACTTTCAAATGCGATCATGCATACTTGATACAAGAGACTTTTCTACGTACGTACAATACAACATACTGTAAAGTACTTAGCCCCCCATCCTCAATCTGGGGTGGTCTCGCAGACTAAATTATCCGGGATTTACTTTAATAACCTGCGTGTTGTGCAACCTAATCTTTCATATGAGCCCCATTTCTGCGGGACGCTATTGCGAGATGACTGACGATTCTCCAAAGTCAATCCATTAACATGATGCGAGATCTCCCATTTCGCGACTTTCTCGGACAAGGTCATTGTTAAACTATCATGCACGGACAAAAAGACGAAGGAAATGTGCAAGAGCTCAAACCTCATCAATGCTTAAGCTACGACGCGCAGGAGGCATCCGTGTTCCAGCTGATCCGCCGCAAGCGACCACGCACACCCGATGGTTACGCTGACACCTCTGTGTTACCAACACCTGACAAAGCTCCGCGCCTTATGGTACTCCCTGGCCTGGCCGACTTGCTAGCGACTCAAAAGCAGCGCCATGGTAGTATTGTAGAAACCTTGTCGTGCCTACCCACCTCTGATCAGAAGCAGGTTATGGCACAAGATTTAGCGGCGGAAATGGAGCTTGAAGACAAGTCACCTTGGCCATCGGCCAATCAGTACTTCGATATGTTTTCGACATTTAAAAGTGATGTCAAGATACCCGTGTATGACTTAGGCGTAGATCCGCGAGGCGTTCCACACCACCCAGAATTTATTTACAATCAACCTGTGTCGTGTATGTACTTTCTTAAGTGCTCACGTCTACTCGGTAAAGGTTCATTTGGCTTTCCGCGAATGATAAAAAGGCTAGTGAAGGAGACGACACCAACGTCTGCATGCAGAAATAGCGGTAAGAAAGAGTCAAGCAAGGACTTTGAGTGGCGCAAAATGAGTTTCGTCACTGGTTTGCCCAAAAAACTACCCATTGTGCGCTACATTACCGCCACGTGTTACAGTCGCGCCACTCATATCTCTGCAAAGAAGAAGGTGTTTCGCATGCATGCCGTCATGCTTGCAGATGAGATGGGCACAAGCGAACACGGCGAGTATGTTCTCGTACATATCCGTGCCGGTGGGAGTAAACGGGTAGGTCTTCGTGCTTCTTTGTCTAGTGGAGAAACATTGCTGGGTATGGAACACCCGGTATCGCCTACGAGTGTTGCAGAGTCGTACTCGAGCTCTATCTTGCCTCGCAATAAGAAGCTTCTACACATTGACGCCACCGCTAGCGACGACCATGATTCTGAAAGCTCAGTGAAGGCGGTTACATCATCGATGATTCATCATTCGCATTCTATCTCTACCGCTACAGCAGAATCGAGTTTTAGTTCGGCGCGCCTAGCGTTGCGTAGTCTGGTTTTAAAATCTTGCTCGTCTCAAGACGAGATGGTGAAGTACGTCATGGAGCTCCAAGAAGAGCTTGCGGCGCTGCGAGATCAAAGCCAACACGCTTAGGTTAGGATCCTTGGCGTTTATCTGCTGGAATACTTGTCAATCTCTTCAACAAATGTATCAGCTGTAGTCAACTTACGCAATCTATGGGTTTTCATTGTGGTTTGAGTCGTATTATTTACATACATCAAAATGCACAATGGACACTCTTGTTGTACAATCTATAAATTTATTGATGCTACTCAACACTCGCTGCAGCTTTTGAAGTAATCAAGCCAACATACCATTTGTGTGATTGCTTAAATGTATATTAATAACCTTTCAATTACTTCTTGCACTATGATTCGACTATGCCCTTGAGCACTTTCGTTTGAACATGCAAGATGATTTTCGCTAGTCCATCAGTCCTCTTGGTTTCCATGCGAAGCTGAATCCCCGTGCACCTGAACAGTAGCCTCATTTTTAGGACATCTAAACTGTTTGCTGTACAAGTTCAACTGCCAGTTAATCCATTCCTGCTGAATTTGCTGCTTTTCAGTGTCAATCCGGCCAAGCTCGTCGCGGTATTCATTTACCTGCATTTTATACATCTGAAGTTCGTCTTCCATCTGTTTCATCTGCGTTTGTTTTCCCTTCAATGTTTCTTTGTACACCAATAACTGCTCTGCGACTTCAGCACCTGGCTGTCGAGCTAAAATAGTTTTCAGCTCGACGTACAATTTTTCCTTTTCCACAATAAGTAAATCTTTGATGGTGGTTTCTTCATGTTTTCGGATTAACTTCTTTTGCATTCTTTGATGCTTTCGAATCATCTCAAAACGCTTTGGATCACTGCCCTCCAGTTTTCGCCACCGATGGACGTTTAATGGGTGGTCATGTTCTTCAAGCAGGGCTCGAATTTTAGTCTTTTCTTGCAACAATTTCTTTTCCAGACGAAGAAGTTCTTGCTGCAGCGAGCTTTCATGTGATAATTGATTGCTACTCAGATCTCTTTCATGCGTGAGAGTATCAATTCGTGATTTTAGATCGCTGACCTCTTTAACCTTCTCGTTGTATAAAGAGAACCCGTTCGACAAAGTTGACTTTTGGATCTTGATTTTTTCGTAAAGCACACTCATTTCTTCGTTGCGCTGGATAAGCTGCTGCCGTAGAGTATCACGATCACGTACAACACACCCGTATTCCTTAATTTGGCGCTGTTTCTCTTCGTCTGCTTGTTGAATGATCTTCGCCAGTTTCGTAACTTCTTGCTCTTGGTTCAAAATGATTTGTTCCGATGAATGGATTTGCTTTTTAATGCGTAGCAACTCATTTTTAAGTATTTCCTTCTCCTTATCCACTTTGTGGTGGTCAAAATGCTCCTTTACTAATGCATGGTCCTTTGAGGTAATTTCTTCTTTCAGCTGTTGTATCTGATGACTTATTATTTTAAACTTGCGCTTAAAGTCTCCAATTTCCTCTTGTCCTTCAATTAATTGTTTGCTGTACAGATTCCGATCGGTGCGAACCGCCTCGTAAAGGTTTTGTTGTTGCTTTAATCGACTTTCACTCTCAAGAATTTTCTGCTGCAACGATACAGCTTGCAAATCCTGCAATTTTGCCTCTTCTAATGACGTCATAAACTTTTGGTTTGCTTTCGAAGCTTCATTTTCGTACTTCTCACGTTCAAGAACGAGTAGTTGGACCTGAGTCCGCTGTTTTCTAACGTACGACTTCATGCCGTTAATTTCATTCTGCATGTTTTTTATCGTGTTCTCCTTAATCTTTTTTAAATCGAAAGTAGCCTGACCACGATCATTTGCTTTCACAAGCATTTTGTTCAGTACCTCCCGCTCACGCAGCAATTCTTTGAGTTTCTTTGTGAGAAGATCGCTTTGTTTTTTTTCGGATTCCAATGTGACATTGATCATATTGTCGAGTTCCAGCTTAAGAGCCTCATTTTTTGACTCAAATTCAGAGCGCTTTGCCTCAGTATCGTGTAGCTGCTGCCGAGCAATCTCCATCAGTTTTTCAGTTTTGAGTACAGCCCGTGCGACTGCTTCAATTTCCTCCTCTTTAACATTCAGCTCGTGTTCAACCTGCACATTCTCCTTGTGCAGTTCTTCGTTTCGCTGCCACTGTAGCTGCACTGCTTCTGTCAACGAATGCGTTGTTCGATACAGAGCGTCATACTGTTTCGAATACTTATCCATTTTAAGCTTGGACTCACGCGTAATGAGCTCTTTCTTGTATAAACTCTCTTCATTCTCCTTCTTCAGAGACTCTAATGCAGCATTGTCAGACTGCAATCTCTCAAAAGATTGCTTGAGTAGCCTAAGATCTTGTTCCAATCTTGTTTTGCGTCTCACCTCCTTGTCTAAGAGACTCTGCACTTCCTGACTTTGCAGCACGACGTTTGTCTGATTCTCTTCAAACCTCGCATTCTTGGCCTCCTCTTCTTGCACCAATGTAAACAGATTAGCAGTCTCTTGTCGTATATCCTGTAAAGATATCGTCTTAGTCTCAACATCCCGTGCACATTCAGCCCGCTGGTTCCTTAAAGTTGCAATCTGCAACTCTTGGTCTTCGTTTAATAGAACTTCGCCAGAATTGCCAAATGGCAAAGCCATTTTTGAAACTTCTTCCTGCAATGCCTCCAGCTTGCCTCGAAGATTGTTAACTTTTTGAGTCTTTTCCAATCCTATCTGCCGCGTCGAAGAAATTTGCCGCAACACTGCATCCAGCTCGGATGTAATATTTTTCTTCTGTGCGAGAGCCTCACTTTCTTCTTCTTGGTCGCGCACCATTACGTCATGACTAAAACGAATCTGTTCGAGAAATTCTTTGGTGCGATGAACCAGTCGCTGTTCGCTCTCGTGTGATTTTATAAAAGTTCCCAGTAGTTTTTCCAACTCTGACTTGTATAACGAGATAGCCTCTGGAATTTGCTCCAGTACAGCCCTCATTTCGGCAACGACAGCTGAACCATCTTCTACCGAAGAAGGCTCTATCTCCCCGACCCATGTGCCATCGGTATTCTCAATTTGAAGCGACAATGCGCGATCCAAGAAGGAGGGATCTGGCATTGTAGCGCAGCAAACGTTTTTAGATACTACTAATCTCAGAGCGGAAGTTTCACAAAAAGGATCTTTGACAGTTGCTGGTTTCCTGAATTAGCTACAACATGTGTCATCAGGCTATGTGAACTTGTCAGGTAGATGAGCAAAACTTTTGGAGCTGAGGATACCGATGATGCAAATGCTGGCTATTAATCGAGAGAGGTGATTTTTAAAGAATAGTGAATGAATCTTACAAAAATCTCTATGAAGTCATTGTTTTCGTTAAACGATCTATCAGCTGTCGCTTTTTGCACTCCTGACGACAGCACCAAGCTTTCAATTCCATGTGTCTTGCAATGTGTCAGTGATGTAGCAATGCCCTTTGGGAGGATGATACATAAAATCGTAATACTTTTTTTTGAAATCGAGTTTTTACATACATGAAGAGTCAAGAAATTATGAGCTATGGCGCTCGTATCAAATATTTCACAGCACGCCTTGGTGGAAAACTTTATTTCTGTCTTAATGACGATTTCTGAACACTTATCCAATCAGACAAATTTCCCAAGTCAATCGTGGGTGCAATGAATGATCTGTCAATAAGTTGTAAGCTGTCTAATCAAACATGATACTGAACAGAATTAATCAGAAAAATGCGACGATCCTGATTCTGGAGACGCTACTCAATATTTTACCTCCTGGCGAATATAAAATCTCGTTAGAGCAGACCTAAGGGATAGCTTTCTTGACAACAAAGCCTATGAATTGTAAATGAGATCAACATTTATTCGATGTGAGCTTGTAAAATCAGATACTTTCGAACTGATAAATTTTGCACGAAATCTAATCAGTCATAAATCTAGAAAATAACATTGTATTGTATGACTGTGTTTTATGATTACCTCATAAGAATATCTGTGATATTCGCACATCTTATGGTCAAAACTTTAATCTTCGGTCCTTTTGTAGAGTATTAAATCTTCATATTTCCCAGAACGCAAAACTAGATGTGCAGGTATAAAAGCCGCAAATATCGATTAAGTACGACGATGAAGTACACTTTTCACAAGCTCTTCTTTATAACTGTCCCACTTTGTTTCGACGATGAGCTGCTGAAGCAAATTTGAGCCTCCTTTTCCTTTTTGTTGAGAGCGTAATGTTCCTTTTGGCGACAAATCCATCGCACATTCACGTTTCTTTGTCACAGCAATAAGCTGCAGATTTCGACGAAGGAGCTTTCGGCTCTCAACTGAGAGTTCTTGCATGAGATCGGTAGCTGATAAGAACAATAGCTCTGCAGTCGCACTAGAGATCAATGTTGCCTTTGCACCTAAAGCTCCAATAAGTTGATTGCTTTCTCGAGATGCCCGTGATGGCACCCAAGTCAGGGATACACAAAAACAGTCCCCGCGTCTCAATGCCAACGCCACTGGTTCAGGTACCCCTTTATTTTTTTTACTTTCTAAATCATTCATCACGATGCTACTTTTTTGATTTGCAGCCTTTTTCACTCCCGCTGAAGCAAGGCGTAAAAGCTCACGTTGTTTAAGATTCATGAATGTTTGCGGGAGAAATCCATGATATGTATCATTTACATGTACGAAGCTGAGCGGATCCCCTGCAGTTTCGAGTTGAGTAAAAAATGAAAGAGATTTATGCGGTTCAGATAATCGTCCACAAAGTGCAAATGAGCTCGACATGTCGGGAGGTGATCGCAAACCACAAGGTGTAAATTGGCATAGCTCACCATATTTAACCACTAGTAATCCATCTAATGGCTGACCTTCGCAAACCACGACTTTCGAGCCAATAATTTTGAAAGCTGTAGCCTAAAAATTTAACAAGATAGAATTAGATCTTGCTTGCCTTCTTTTGAGCACAACACGTAAGCATACCCGGTACGCAAGCTTTCGAATATCTGACATAGGTATACTAGCAAATGCTGGGACCTTTGTAAGAAACCGCGCGGTCGCTTCTCGCTATACAATAATAGATTGTAAGTATGATTGTTCTGTTGTCGAATTAACTCACTCACCTCGATCTCATGTTGTGCACGGATGACTTGATCCCACTCATGCCAAGAAAGAGCTCCAATCACACAGGTTGTCGCTGTCACGGCTGAATACGTCCTTTAAAAGTAAGGACTTGTGAGTATATAAGTAAAACCAAGAGTAGGCCCAATATACCGTAAAGCGTTTGTACATCTCCCTTGATGGCCAAAAATTTCGCCGTGCTTAAGAGTACAAAGCCCTAATTGCGATTGCTGCCAAACAGTACTTACAGGTCTTTGCTGCCTAGTCCATGGAGATTTCCACGTCGTTTCTTGCTCACTTATTTCGCCTTCTATAACTACCTCTTTCGAAGAGTTTCGTGGGGACTGAAACATCCGATTGACCGTCTTTGACAATGACACACGTCCTTGAAAAATAAAATAGATTGTACAGTCTCGTACAGCCAAATCATTATCTTCCTCAGGCTCCAAAAACAGTGGTGTTTGAGCTGGAAGGGCTCCTTCAGGACTTAGCTCAAGCTTACGGCATAAAAGATTACAAACTTCAGGGTGTAATGCCGCACAAGCAGCAAATTGTTTCTGCATAAAGTCACTGAGCTGTTGCACGTCACCCTCTTTTCTCTCAGCGGTTGGAACTCGAGCAATTACTTGACTCAGTTGAAACGTCCATGCTGTCAGTTGATCATTTTCGAAAGCATCAGCCTTATAATTTTCAGATACAAAAGTTCCTCCTCGATTTCTATCGCGATAAGATGTCTCGACAACACATAGGATATTGTCGTCCGTACATATTCCACCTTCTGCGCACTTTTGCGAACAAACGTAATCGTGTGCTGCCTTTTCATATTGCCCCACCTTTCGATACGCTGCTGCTCGCTGTTGGTATAGTAAATAAGATTTCGGACCGAAAGAATCAATCAAATTTCTGCGCTCGGTAATGGCAATCGCGCGCGAAAAACAGTCAAGAGCTTCGGGCACTTTGTCCAGCCGCATGAACAAAATCCCCATACTATAGTGCCCAAAAGCGTGTCGACCACCAGAGAGTTTCTGCACATGTCTGTAAGCTTCAAAGGCTGATGCAACTTGACCTTTTTGCTCTAATAGCAGAGCAGAGCGATATGTTGCTTCGATCTCACTCTGTCGTTTGCCGGACATAGTCGTAAAAGACTTGAACAATCGGTCATTGTCTCCCTTTGATTGTACTTCAAAATCTTGCAAATGAGATCGATCGTTTGTAGACTTAACGGTACTGTCAGTTGCTCGCGACAATTTCTCAATAATACTACTACTTTTGTAGTTATCACTTCTATCACGGCTTCGACTTATCGTCAGGTTCGTATGACGTCGTTGTCGACCCACATTTTGTTTCTTTGAAAAGTCATTTTTGAGTAAAAAGGATGTTTTTCGATTTCGACTGGTCGATTTGAAGCGGTCAGATAGAGCAAAGCTCGGAGCTGTGGATGGTCGTGAAGGTTGTGACGGTCGATGAAAACGCTGATCATCAATGGAAGTAGACTTCGAACAGATCGATTGTGCAGTTGTTGCATACGAATTATTTCGACGAGATTTAAGATGTGACGGAGCTGAGGCTCTACGGACAGGAATTGACGTGGTCTTGTCACAATTCATTGTTTTTGATGGAAGCTAGTTGATATCATAAATTTTTTGAATGAGTTACACGAAAAATGCACACTATATTGGGAAGCGTGAAAATATAAATAAGTCAAATAAACGACAGAGATCGAGATAAGCAATGATTGCATCCATTCCGATCACAGTAAATAATCTTGATGATGAGCAGCTCGAAAATGCCGTATTCCATGAGAAACAAAACAGCCCATCTGATGAGATCTCGTTAGTCTTTTCACGCTTGCTGTGCTGTTTGCGCAATCGTTGTCTGTGTGGATTTTGTGTGATCTGTCCTTGCATGGTTTTCTTGCTTTTGTTTTTCAGTCTTCCATCCACAATGGCTCCCAGCACAAAACGAGTTTTTTTGGTACTGGCTGTTCTTCCACCGGTCATTTACATTCTTCTAGCCTTATTCACAGTGATACTTGCATATTACATTCAAGTTTCTCTCGACAATTTCAACGCTCGGGCAGCTCATGAGTATTTACGTGTCATGAGTCAACGAAGTAAAATCGCTGCGACAACAGGGTGTAAGCAACGAACTGGCAATTTTTCTGGTCGGTTTGCATTATTTTTAGAGGTAGCACGTTTAGATGATGCGAAGACTGTCCAATTGTGCTTGGAAAGTGGACAAAATGTCAACGAAAGTGATCATCTTGGTCGTACAGCTCTTCACTGGGCTGCAATGTCGGGATCAGACGAGGTTCTTTCGCTCCTGGTCAGAAGTGGTGTTTACATTGACCAAAAAGATACACTTGATGGGCTGTCAGCACTACACTACGCAGCTTTTTATGGTCATATCAAGTGTACTCGTCTTCTGGTCGTCGCTGGTGCTTCATTAACAATAATGGATAATCGTAAATTAAATCCACTGCAGCTCACTGAAATGGCAATTCTTAATCTTTCGACTGTTCAGCCGACACATCAGATGATTATCAAATACCTTCGTCGATCAATGAAGGACGATGTCACCCCACCACTTCAGCATATTGCTGGGCTTACAGTTTTGCAGCTTGTTGAGCGACAAATGCACAACCTCCCACAAATTGATGAAGCATCATAGCAATAGGGCGAAGATTGTCTTTTCAAAGGTTTACAGCAGTATTTGCATCAATGTAACATTTTAACGCTGAAGGTACTGCTATGGCTTTACCACCGCGGTGAGCTATGAAAGCATTAAGTATCATCGCGACGACTCTATGTGCTCGTTGTTTTAAGCTCAAGAGGTTCAAGAGGTTTAATTGCGCTGGAAGGCGCGGGTGATTGTTCAATACTTAAAACCTCGGACGTGGCGTGAAACAAATTGACTAAAAATGTGGAGTTACTTGTAAGTTGCTATTAGTGAGGAATAAATTCACACGCTGGTCAACTTTAGCGGTCTGAAGCCACTTTATAAATCGGCTTTAGGTGATTGCGAGTCAATTTCATTCGAGCGAGCTCGAAAGAACGCAAAAAATATCACGAAGGCAAATAATAATACGGTTGGTTTGCAATTGTATAAACTTGGTTGACGTCAAAGTTACTGAAGCCGGTACACGGTCAAATTACTTTTTAGCGATGGTTTGGAGCTAACTGTCAAATTGGTGAGACTTTTAAGATATTTGGTGCTGGCATCATTTGAAGAGCACTTTTAAATCAATAGTGCAAGATGTGCCACCAACGCATTCGATTATATATTTTTTAAGGCGATAGATATGGTCATTTAAATCTATTCAATGAGTGCCCTAGTGACTTTTTAAAGCTGCTTGAGTTGTCTCCAGCCCATGCAGCGGTATGATGATTTGCGTAAGGTCCAGAATTCTACAAAGACTCTTAATCTCAGCATGATTCACTCCTTCGTTTTCGTTGTTTGTGATTCTACGCAATTATCGTTTGAATTATTATCGCTGCATTTTGAAATGATGTTGCAATATTCAGAGTTGGGACTCCTCCATGTTTCAGATATCTGGTTCATTATATTATCGCATTGGAGTGCTTTGGTTCCAACCGATGTTTTTACAAAGTTTTTGTCGTCGTTTCATCCATTTTCCAGCCTATATTGTGCTTCGTACGATATTCATTGATTCTGATTAAATGATCCCTGCATCAGCACAAAGTGCGAATTCGAGCGTGGAGGTTCTTAGCGTTTCTTTCGATGTTTTGTAAAACTTGTGAAGTATCTTACTGATCTTTAGCCGATTTTTATAGCAATTTGGTTTCTGCTGCACAATAGACAAAACGCGAGTGCTGAAGCTCCACGTCAAGGAAAAGGCTCACAATTTAGTGAAAACTGTGCTGGTACAATCATTATTTTAGCATAAGGATAGATAAAAAGAAATCTGACTCCAAAATACTAACATCACTTAATTTCTTGAATTTGATGATACCAAATTGAATTGACGTGGGCCACATTTCTGTACTAAATGCTTCATTTATCGTAGACAATGCTTGTTAAAAATAAACACAAGAGCAAAGTATCTTGCAAATTCACTTATGTTAATTCATTGTCACAGCGTTTTGTCTTGAGTGCCAGCATGCAACTAGTGAAAGTACGAGCTAGTAGTACCAGGAGCCTCTCAATTATAATTATATTGTATCTGTCCTTGATGCTGTTGAACAAAACTGTACATTGAGCACGCGTAAGCTGAGGCGTCGATCCTCGATACTGTAGAGATTACGCCGCTCAATACTGTTGGCGAACGATATTGCAGCTAGATTTATACATAAGTATCATTTTGTGTTCCTGTTGCTCAATGTATGGTGTGTCAAAAATATTTCATAGTAAGAAGGTAAATCACATGGTGGTGAAGGTTCACTGTGAAGTACCCTGCCCCAGAGGCGTTTATATTGTTACGGATGCGGCTGGCACTGAGACCATCTGCGTACTTCGAGAAAACGGTGGATGTCTTATGAATACGGTAAATTACTTCCGTTGTGCAAGGATCAAACAAGATATTGATTGAAAGCTCTTGGAACCTGCAAAAGATGAGAAGGACGAGGGGTGTTAGCTGCTGATCCCTCGCAGGTGTTTTATCTGCGATTTAACAAAACACATATGCCCTGCGCGCCCGCATCCCACTCAGATAAGAAGAACGAAAGCTCGGACAGGGCTCATTTCAGCAGAGAAAAGTCGGGATACCACGTACGGTCGTCCAAATCCATTTAGTACTAATAGACGCAGGGCGACCAACGGTAAAAAAAATATTGCCTATTGTATGCAGGTTCCGTCGGACCCAGTCCTAGCAAAAAACCGTTAGGCTCACAAACCAGGGTTGTTGGTTCGGAAGTTAAACGTTCAGGGCTTTGTTTAGGCGCTGAAACTCCTGACAGCCTTAGAAACGCCATGCACTTGCGTGAGACACCCTACTTACAAAACGATGATCAGTATGCGGAGGCAGATGCTAGATACACATACGATATTTGTGCGTCGAGCGCTGGGGAAGCTGGTAGAACATCGATTGCCTAGTTAAATCTTTAAGTGCAGTTTGAGGTCTTTGACAGCGTGAAAAGCTGTTGGGTCTTGGACCGACATCTGATATATGATCCCATTATCGTATGGGGTGGCTAAACACCACGAGTCATAAATCGACCGAAATTTGAGAAAGTCAAGCGCCACGCATCTCTATCCTGGTGAAGTTTTAATGTGTCATGAAGCAGCCTCTGCCACAAAACAAACGAGCTTTTGTTGCGGGGAACAAAAAAACGATAGCTTCTAAGCAGGACTTGGATACATCCAAACCAACGAGCAATGATACCAAGAGATATATGAAGGCAGAGGCCACAGTGATCTGCGGTCGCCGGATAATACAGAAATTCGCACGTACATTGCGATCTCCAGAGTGTTTCTCTGCTGGGTCACAATGAACGACTGTGGGCCGTGGCATCTTTGGTGAAATTGCTGCAAGCTGGTATCCTCCCTGCTCGAGCCGGTGAAGATTAATCGACTCTGTGTTGGGGTCTCTCAGTAGCACTATAATCTGCGTCGCCCACTGTGCGGGCGCTTTGAAGCTATACTGATCTGTGGTGAGAAAAATGATGTACTTGTGAATGGCCTAAAGCATTGAAAGTTTCCATTCACTACCTCCAGCAGAAGCTTGTATTGGGTTATTGAAGTTGTATTTATGAGTTCGTAGCAAAGAAGTGCAAGTCAGAGCAGTACCAACATTAAAATATTGACCGTATCATTCATTAAGGTGAGTCCATCGCTGAAGACACTGGGAGAATACTGAGTAAGTGTAGTTCGTAAGCTATACATAAAGCTTTCACAATTTTTTTTATATTTTTTGCTTAAAGAATCACGAAGTTATCGTGTTGGCATCTAGATTAGGGCTGTGTCATGCGATGCCAGATCCCCAGAATAAGATCGTCAATAATCGACAACAAGGGGGCAATTTGACGTTAAAAAAGTTTCTTTGGTGCGAGCCACGACTAGATTTTGCAAAACGAAGAGATTCTACAAAATAAAGATGAGAATTCCCTTTCGTCAATAACATTCTGTGTCTGAATGGTCAACGGCAAGTGGCGAATTATTATAAGCTAAACTCAGCCAATATTTCGACGAAACGAGGAATTCGAGATAACATGCGGTGCAGAACAGCATGATACATTGCGCTTTGTTCACTGCTCTTAACAGTTGTTGATCTCTCATCAATCACTCATGAAACAGCTGTTTTTTAGTGATTACTTTGGGCTGGATCTTATGGAGTGGCTGATTACCAGCTATATGCAATTTTTCTGGCTGTGCGACAACGGTGTGCGCGGTGCCGTCACCACATCTTGCTCATGCGAGGCACGATGTTGATTCTTTCTGCAGAGTATATCATTCAGTTAAATACAAGTCGGATCGGTTTCTTGTAGGGTGAAGCTGCCTTCGCGACATCCCATCTAGTGATTATTGCATACCAGGTTGCTGAAATCGCCAGTTGATACAATCAGCGTACGGGTGAGGCGCGACATGTGTTGTGTTTCTAGAAGCTTTGAGAAGCAAAGACTTTATAATTCGGATGTTGCTTTATCGAAGCACAGAGCTGCACCTTTGAACCTCAACGCCTGGTCACAAGGCTTATTGTATTGCAGAACTAACTCACACGCCGCATGATAAGTAATTTCAGTCCAGAAATCCGTACAATGCAATTCAAATACCGTTGGGTAGTCAGTCACCTTGAAGGAGATTAGCCTTTCTGCTAAGTGGATGTCATGCATTTTGTGGTCCAATATGTAACGGGGTTACACGTACCCTGGTAACAAGGGTGTGTGTCACACAGGATGTGTATGGTGTGACTGCACCCAAATAAGAAAACGTTTTGTGGCTAGGTAGCCAGGAGTTATGCATATTTAGATTTTACTATATATTTTCAGTATATTCAAGAAAATCTCAACTTTTAAAATTAGGATAAATAGATAAATCAGTTTCGATTTTGAACAGAAGTTTTCGTTTGCCTTGATTAAGGCTTTTAAGTACTTTTAGAGGCAGCGGATTGCTATCCTCTGCACTAGTAACTGGTTCTTGTAAAGAACGGAAGGTCGGTGACCTAAAGACGCTTTCTCAAGCGCAAAGCTACGGCAGCCCCCATGCACAATATGTATATGTGAGCGAAAATGCCAGCACGAGTGAAACGTGTCAGTGAATTTAAACTTGCCGCATGCATCGGCCCTTCGATTCATCCTGCCAGAATCTCACAGAGTGATCAAAGTCAAGCACCAGTGATTATTTATCTGTCAAAAACGTGTTTGATGATATCGAAGATGTAAATTTTGTGGGCCGTCCAAAAAGTTGGTTCATCTTACTGCTGTCGACAATGATGTGACCGGTGAGGATACAACCAAGAAGTTCTCTGATAAATTATTTTGCCAACATGACTTGCCGGTTGCTATTGTATTGGACAGATTTTTGTACTATACAACGAAATTTTAAGAATATCATCCAGGGTACTCGGCGCAAGATTGCATATGCCATCCGCTTATCAACAAAAGAGATTTTAAACAGGTGCGTTATTAGCATTGTGGGGATATTCTTCGAAGCACATGCGTGGCAAAATCGCGGTGCTGAGGCGAGTAAATGAATTTGTGCTGGGTAAAACCGCAACATGCCGATACAGGCATTACTTGATTTTACCCAAATGTTTTGGATAACCTCGGGTGCCTACGAAACCGTTACAAAGTTGCTCCGGTCTTAGTGGAGGAGAGCCGTCTATCAAAATGGGCTTGTTGACATCAGCACTGGCTACAATTACGAGTATAGTCCGTGATTTGAGCTCAACAAGACTAGGTGTCATAAGCCCAGTGTGCAACGCTACGACTGAGAGCCAAGATACCCAAAATCAACACAGGCAGGCAAAACACCATGATTGTGTTGTAGAGAAAAATACTCGTTGAAGGCTGTAAGACCACTTGTCAGTGATCGATCAGTTTAAATTTGGGACACGCCGAGTTAAAACGATCACAGTTAGATGGAATTGGGATTGGATTAGTATTTCAAAGTGAATGTGACACACAATGTAGTCTTCATGGGCCTTCTGAGGCTTTATTACGATTACGGTTCTACAAGCCGATCAGATGTGAAGAGCTCTATTGTAGACGCAGCACACCCCCTGTAGCTGAGCTGGGCTCTTCTCCGAAGTTACTAAATGGCTCTGAGCCACTGGGGTTGCTTCAAGCCGCGAGGTGCGATTGCTAGCTCATGGAGCCCATCCGACATTTGACCCATCCTAGCTTCGTCCGCACGCTGAGACTCTTGGTAAGATTCGATGTCTGATAGGGCTCAATAGAGCCAGACGCGAGAACATTGTCCTCCATCAGTGCTGCTGAATGAGCAAGGAGTGGCTACATTTTGGTTGGAGATTTGTGGGTCAATGGGCACACCAGGGCTGTTATCAGTATCTAAAATGGTGAAAGGGACCCCTCATCTAAGGATCTCGTAAAGGTTAGCGGTTCTACTTTAGTAAACTTGCCCTGGCCACGTTGCTGCATACGACCTCTTGTACCCTCGACCAGTTTTCTTTGAGGAGAGGCAACATTGTTATTTTATTTCGCGCTTGCCACTAGCGAGTAATAAGTGATTGTTGCCAGCGCAATACTTGGTCTGCAGCTGTAACAGCTACTTCATAGAGACAACTGATACCCTTTATTGAAAAGAATTGAAGGTCGGCAATTCTCACCTCGACGTCCGCGTCGTGCATTGTATTTCACATAGTCAAGCACTACTCGCGGCTCTAGTTGGATGTACGCTCCATCAAATATGCCTGGCAAAGTTGTGAGGCGGGTGAGAAGCCGTGCGCTTCTCGCTCTATGCGTGAGCTCATTACTATTATTTCTCTAGCTTTTAGTGCACATGGCACTGCCTTACGAAGGAACTGGAGTTTTCAAACCATTGCTTCAAGCGCAGGTGGTACTCGAGAAGAGTCGCTGCCTTTGGATTCGAAAAAGCGTTTGCAGAGCGACTTTCGAGTGCTCGTATTACTTTTGAGCATGCTTGTAAGAGCAGGTACTGTAAGGTGCAAGTGGTGAAGTACTACTCCATTACGCACTGAGAGTTTATTTTTTGCAATGTCTACAAATGACAAAAAATGCGAATTTCAGTGTCGTTGACCATCTGGTTGGGATAAGGGTCGCAAAGTACTATTGTATACACAATGCACACTAGTCAGATGTAATTGTGATGAGAATAAAGGGAGAGGTCATCAAGACGGTTTGTTAGCCTCATGTAGATATTTTATTGATCAAACCGTCATATTTTTAATTAATTCGATTTTGACTTACAACTATCTTGATGCCTTACGATTATAAAATAATTTCCAAAAACTTGTTATTTAAACGCGTTTGAAATGTAATTACATATTGAAGGAGCATTGCAAGATGACTTTGACAAATATATATACGATTTTAGCAACTGTCAATTCTACGGCATTAGACGCATACTACCGCTCCCCAATCCTCCACCGTAATTGCTACTAGCGTGCGCATCGTCCAAGCTATTATACGAAACAATTTCGAAATCGTACATCGCAACGGGTATATGTTCAATGCTCTGCACTGCCGTTAAAATGTGAAGTAGTGCATTCTGTAGTGCTGCCTCCGTCTCTCCTGCACATAACTCCCGCTCCTCTGTCAAACACATCACGATCAATTTCTTTCTAATTCTCTACATTTTCAACATTAAATCGCACCTTGCGACGCAGTAGGAGACGATGTGATTGTGACAGGAATGATCCATTTTTCGAAGATCGTCTTTTCCTCGTTCGACATGAGTCCGAAAAGAGCCTTCTTAACCTTTCGTTCAAAGAATTTGACCATGATGTACCCACTATTGGCACCTCTCACGTTACTCGTCCCCACCGATTTGATTGTAGGTTGGCCGTAAGCTGGCACCATTCCATTGCTGACTCCCATGACGTAACTACTGTCACCTAGCACCACCAACTCTTCGAAAGTTCGGACTGCGTGTTCCACTTTTCGACTCACGTCTCCCACAGCACACAATGCGTATGTGATGTTGGGAAATGCTTGACATGTGGCTTCGCTGGGTCGTACAGGACCCGGCGCCCGCGTGAAAAGAATTGTGTGTAATAAACATGTAACAGCGTCTCCCACGTCTTCAGCTGCAACCGGAATCTCGTCCAGGTGATGTTCTCTCCATGATGCCGCGCTTCCGGTACCGCCTGTGATGACTCCACCGCCCGAGGCAACACCAGCACTTACTAACATTCTTCAATGAAACCGAATGAATTAATGAGTATTAGTTTATTTTTTTTCTGTCTCAATGTGATTATTCGAAAAGTCGATAGTCATTCAAAAGGTGGTATCGCATCTCGGTCTCGCATGTAGCACGAATCATACACACGCAGTGCAAGCATGTGAGAGCTTTCAGAGACGCCATATACGTAGGCTTAAGTAAGATATAATTGATTTGCGCGAACAAACGATAAATCATTGAGAGCAAGCTTTTTAAATCAATTAATAACGCAGCAATGTGATTAAACTGACACCAAATACCATTGCGCTCCTACCAGACAATATGCAAATGCATATATTATTAACGTGGCGTCTTGACGTCGATCGTTTTGCAAAGAAGGAATCCCTTTTGCTTATGTGCGAAATCTCACTTGTACATATTGTTAATTTTTTATCTTGTCGGAAGCCACGAAAATGCCTCGTTCCTGGTGACAGATCGGGATCGCTTGGATTGCTTGTGGATGATTTCACCACCAATACAAATGTGCACTACATTTACATTTCTTACATTCCTAACTTTTGATAAAAGTGTGCGCGCAACGTTGACAGGAACAAATCTGACGAGCCGAGTGTGACGTCTGTACAAGATTCTGATATCAATCTAAATCAATTCTACACTGCAATTTTCCACGTTTTCTTCAAGGTATTTCTTGAAAGTGTTTATCAAACGTATCAACAATATCACAAGTAGTATAATGAGTCAGCTGCCCTTACCTGGAGGCAAATTGGTGTGAACGTATGAGCGAATAACAAACATGAGAACTAGCCTTAAGCTTTTATACAAGGCATGTGGTTGCTGAATCTGCATATTAGAAAAACTGCGTACTTTCCGTCGCTGTCTCACGATGAATTTGGGGTGAAAGTATGTCGTCAAGGTTTTAGTTTTTACCACTAAAGTATTGATGACGACAGGCTTACATGTTCGACCCTTGCAAAGTGTCCGTCACGTTTCAACATCATATACAACTTTCGTATAGCATGAACTTTTAGCTGTCGTCATGACGTCATGTGTCGATAGTGCAACACGAGCGGTTCCTTTTGTTTTTGATGGTGCCAAATTGTACGCTGGATGAAAAAGACCGAAAGTTCCGGCCCGACGGTAGTGCCCATGCATGCCATCTCCAACTTTACTTCAACAGATATCATCAGACGCTTTCGGACTACTTTAAGCAGCTCAGACATCTATCAATTGTTGAAAAGTCAGAACAATCAGAGCACAATTACAGCAATGAAACATTAGCGTCAACGCACCTTAAGGTCACCGCTTACCTGCATGAAGGGAAATTTTAGCATTGGTAATGTGTTGATATTCCTGTGAAAGTTCAAGTTAGGCATGTCAAAATATGCTGAAGTTGTGATACATACGTCTGTTGTGGGTAAACCTCAATCGTTAAATGTCTGTTACTTGTGGTGCTGTCTCCAATAGTACTCAACTTGGTATTATATGGCTTTGCGGGTTTTGTCGAGTTCTTTGATCGTCGTTGACACAAGCTCGTGGTTGTACGTATTGGTCTGGTGCTTCCAGATACATCATCGGTTTTCTTGTCTGTCTTAAGTTTAAAATCAAACTTGGTATAGAACTCCTTCTCTAGAATCACTTCTTTCTCTTTAAATTCAGGAAAAATGTGGTCTACCACTGTCTGAAGCTTTTGATCCGTGCTGTTCGCAATAAAAGCGCAAGTAACATGATTATCACACACGCATTAAGGCTGCAGAGTCAATAATTCTCACACTAATGAAGCAATCGGTCGAGGATTCAGAATTTTGTTGCACTTAGGGCAGATGCTGCTGCCCTTTACAAGAAAATGTCGATAAATGCAGCTTTTGCAAACTACAAGAACAAAATGCGATCAGTAGAATGAACTCGACAATTCTTTACTCAGTGACAGCATAAAACATACATGAGTGAAGACAGTCGGGAATAGTGTGTGCGTCTCGTAGAATCCCATGACAAAGCGCGCAGCCTACAATCTCTGACAGCTCAGCTAGCTTGACTGCCACCTACTGAATCCCAGAAGCACAACAATGATCATTGCTTGACTTGTAGGCGCACGAAGTATCATCAATTGTACCGTGCCGGCGTCCATTGTTTTCTTAAAATTGGAATTTGTTGAGAACATGACTTTTTATTTAGTAACTAATCTACCTACAAATTTCTTTATTCAGAGTCAGAGTTTTATATTTTAGATTTATAACAGCGATCTCGACTTTTTGCGGAGGTAGGGAATGATGCAGTTTTAAGGATGTCTTATCTAGGGGACGAATTTTGGGTGCAAAAAGGAGAAAATGAGCAAGCACTCGCTATTCCATGCTGTAAAATCAGGAACCAAGTCTACAAAGCGAATGGTTTCTGTGCTCAACCATACATTTATTAGCATCAGATGTGTGCTGATGGAGGGAAGTAAGTCGTATCTGTGCTGAACAAAGTGTGAGTCTACTGATTGCGTTTTGTCTCACGAATATGCGCGGGCTGAACTTTGTTCAAAGACATGCCTCCCAGAAATGTAGTTATACTTGTCTCATGCAGGTTACACTTAGTTGCTGCTATCATGGCAAGCTTTGCCATCAAATTCAAACGCTTTATCTCCGCTATCACCTCTCTGAACTTTTTAATTTGCTTTTTATCAAGCAAGCATGCACGATATGCCCCCTCCACTACGTACAAGCCCACTTTGATCTTCGTTATACGCATCTGTCGTTTGTTTTAACCGCCTCGAATCTTTCGTCGTGCTTACATACATGAAATTTTTTGCGACCCCGCCTCATGACAGCTTTAACATGGCGGTTATCATTGCCACCGATTTGTGCCTCGTACTCTTTGTCGCCGTACCGTCGAATCAGCCGTAGACTACCACGCATTTCAGCAATCAGTTTCCTGGTCTCTTGGGTGCAACGCATTTGTCTTAGTTAAGATGACACAAGAATACCTATCAAAAAATGACTGTGTAACGAGATCTGGATGAAGGGTGTGGCTCACACAATATGATGTAACCACACAAAGGTGTGGATACACTTAAACAAAAAGTAAGTACCTGGCTGGAACAGCCAGTTGTTATATGGCTGAATATATCGACATGAAACCCTATAGATTTCGGTATTGGCGGCTTTGCCGCAGATAAATCCGAGAAATGTAGTTATCGCTTAAAAGGAAGTGGTAATTATCCTTGTGTTGAGGTTGTTGTTACTCTTGGAGTAAGCGGATCGCGATCCGCTACACTTGTACTGGTTCTAAGTATACGACGAAGGTCACCGACCTCGACCAAGCTTCCTCTAAGCAAAAGAGCTACGGCAGCACGCTGCAGACTACACCACATACTATAGTACGCTTTGCGTTGCGTAAATTACGGTTGAAAACTTTGTGTGGAAAGTCCCTTTTGCGCTTAAACTACTATCGGTCATCCGCGTAGTTTTATCTGAGGTAGACGTTAGTATAGGTTCTAATACAAGTAGACGCCTTTCACCAGCCTAGGCAAGATTATTTTGTGGTGTATTCTCCTCACTGGTCGCATCAAAGCATATCATTCATATTTACGTCGGATGATGCGCGATGTTGTGCTTAAGGTTGTGGTATCAGCGTCACGATCAGTAGGAATTCCAGGTACGATAAATTGTACGTCGTGGATCTGATCCGTACTTGACGAGAGAGCTCGCTGGTTGAGAAGTGTACGCTACCCTCTGTCTTCGAGTGAATTATGTCTCGGTGGAAAATCCCACATTTCATCGACATTTTTATGCATCGAAGTGTTCCTATAATGGTATCGTGCGAAGAAGTATTGACAGCTTTTTAAGTTCAGCTAATGAATTTTCGACCAATTTATAGCTTCTGTTAATCCAGCACAGCCAACTATGTAGGGCTCACGCGGTGTATCTTGCAATCAGAGCCAACAGAGGTTAGACTCTCGAAATCGTTTACAGGAGAGCTATGACATGTTTTTTTAATGCTGTGCTCTTCTTGAAGGCTATATTTCCAAATAATGAACTTCAAACTGCCGCTCTACATAGCGTTATCAGTGGCTTGTTCCTCACGATATTTGCGGTGTGTACATATATTCTTCCGGTGAAAAATTTAAGGACGACTCGGACTAATGCTGCCAACTAGCCAACTTTCCCATTCACGTTTTTGCTCTCGTTCTATAAAACATTCTATGTTTAGCTTGAACGAACGCGGTGAAGATTTTCACCATCGACCTTTGAGCGCTAACGTATGTGGGCATGGTCATTGTCGACTTGACAACTACTTTCCTGCTAAAAACGCCGGCAATCTGTCCTCCTGGTTGGGAAGCCCCCCTTATCTTTAGCGAGGCTTTGCCTTTGATAGATCTTTCTGATTGCGAATATGTTGATTCTAGCTGGTCCTGACAGTAACAGCGACACCTATTGGAAGCGTTTCAATCGACCACTGAACACTGCATTCACGTTTCTGACCTTGGCCTGCGCTGTTTAAGGTTCGACACCATCGTCGTTTTATCAACAAATGATAAAGCGTAGTGTATGTGTTGTTTTTAGCTTTGCTTTCGTTAGATTAAAATTTCGCAGAAAAGTTCTGCAATGATTAATTACGCAATCATAACTGATTACTCAGACCACCAGGCGGTGCTAATACATGTTGTTTAAGCACCAAAGGAACACCCAGGAGGTGGGGATCTTTCTCTCATACACTGAGCTTATTCTACATTCGGCGTTAGTTCATTCGGTTACAAAGCGATACACAAGTCCAATGCACAACGATCGATTCAGATTCTATTTGCAGTTGATTTAGTACAAAGACATGGTGAAAAGTAGGCTACAAGCGAAGTTTGTGTCAAAGGTAAGATGCACATCGTGGCAATGTTCTCTACAGCTCCGACCACTTCTTGACATCTTAACGTACCTAGCTTCGTCGGCTCAGCGAATTGCGGCACACTTACGTGCTACTGACGACTTTTACCTATGCCGTCTGCTCGGCGAATACAAAAGAGCCGATTGTTGTTATGATTGAAACGGTGTGCTGAGCTTTGACAAACAGGTTCGCGTGAAATAGCTGAAAGAGGCTCCGCGGTAAACGATGCTATAACCTATTGAGTTTAGCTTTATATTATCGAAACAAAGAAGGATTGCAACAAATACAAATCGACCTCAGCGGGTACAATTTTTTTCAGAAACGGAACATATTGGGCGAATTTACAGCCAATCTACATCTTAGTAAACAAGCAATCAAACTTTTTTTTGAGTGCAACATAATACTGTTATAGCTCTCCCGGTTCCAAAATTCCATTTGGCAATGGGTCGACAATTGGCGACCCTGCTCAAATACAGGCAGGTCATCGGGGCAATTTTTCCAGTTCACATGTTCTGATTTCCAAATGATACGGGTTGCTTCGTAACATTCTCCTCGATGAAGCCGAATGCTACAAAAGACAGCGACTAAGCTGACGCAAGCTCAATTACGTCCGCTCGATGCACCCATCTCAACAAGTACTTTGAGCTTGGCTATCACGAAATAATATAAAAGCAGCAGATGTCAACAAATTACTACTCGAGGATCCCCTAATTGTGTCAAGGGTCCGAATAGCAGCTTTCATTGCTAAAGAAAACTGGATATAGATTGCAGCCTTAGAACTGCCGCAAACTGACTCTACTAAACCATAATGCTAAGCTTGGTCTTAGCATTATTGAGCGGCACCAGAAAATGTGCTTACGTCAAATATAAAAGCAAATCAAAGTTGAATTTTAGCAAAAGATTGGTTTTCAATCCCTTGTTCGAATTCAAGACTTGCGAGAGTTATGGAAAGCCTTTTACAGTGACGCATCTGCAATTCTCATTTCCTATTACCCAAGCGTTCAAACACGTGCTTTGCTCAGCGTTGGAACTTGCACTTCATCGTTTCAAATTTAGCACAACCATGAGAGCCTTGATTAGAACATATCACAGCCAAACTTCGTTTGTCTACTCTCACAGAAATCCCCCATTTTTCTTGGAGCCGGGAAATGACAAGCAACACACTATCCTCTGGGCTATTTGTGCGGTTTATGGATTGACTTCTAAACTACGTACGTGTCCAAGTTTCGGTTCGCGAACCGGTGATCGTCCTCACATTTGCTACTGTTGCGCTCTGATGATTGCACCGGTCTTCATACTTCTGTGTGCCACGCAACAAAATTCATGAATATTGTATTTGTGTTTAGATTCCAAATAAACGTGAATAAGTCGAGCGGCATGAAATGGCCAGATTTACGTTTTCAACGGAATCAAATTTGTAGCCATCGCACAAAGTCATATTTTTTTAGCATTTTAAAGAGCTATCATGACACAAGCAACGGTTAAGTGATGTCCTCAATAAATCACAAACATTACGCACCATGTGGAACTTTGTGCAGGAACGTCGGCGAGGCGAAGTAGTGATCTTACAAAGCATCATCTTACCTCGATTTCTACAATGCAAGTGCGACATTAACGTTTTTGAAAACACCATCTGAAACATTGCTTACTCAAAGGATACCGATGGTAACTCCGTGGATGCGAGAAGGTATAAAATTGATTGTACAAGTGTTGCGAAAGGTGGATTAGAATTGACACCTCCATACAAGCAACGCATCTCACGGCACCAAGTGAATAAATTCGCCTCGACTAGCGAGCTTAACATCATTCCCCAGTGGTTCACTTCCCATTGTTTCACTTTGGCACTTCCACGTTTGATAAGTACCCCGATAAGTACACCGGGCGCCCTCGGTACCCATTTTTGATATTTTATTCGCAGACATGATGAGAAAGACTTAGAATAGGTTTGCTGATTTTTGGAAGTTTACCCTACGCACATGAGCAGGATTGCTCAATAGTAATAGTTTCATAGACTGTAAGAGGTTGTGCAAGTCATGCCGTTATGAAATTGGCTTTGGCGAGGCTGAAACCCCATTGGCTGGCGTCAGAAAACACAATTAAGTTTCGGAAAGCATTGGGGCCTACAAGACCTGGTAAAACGTTATGGGAGATTTGCAACAGAAAAAACACTACAAAGTCACTGAAGACACTGTAAATATCTGACAGAATTTCTCTGCTAGACTTCATCTCCTCTCACATGATTTTATCTGCGGACCAGCTCGTTCCATCTACTGGTTATACAGATGCGGACGAAGTTTCAAAGTCAAACTGGTCATCGATGCGTCAAACCATGACTCTGTAAAGTAACTAGTAACGACAAAGTTGGATTCCCCAAAACTCAAGCTTGAGCGTCAGGTTATTTGCTTATCTTCAACGTCAGGTACACGGAGCTCAGGATGCCGTTTAAGCCGTCATTCACTCCGAGTATGCTCGGATCTAAAAAGCAATGCAGCACAACCCATTGGAATTTTGTTTGAGAACAACGTCATATCAAGCAGTGCACTTTACAAACGTTGAATATGCTCAGCATCTTTTGTTTCTTGTTCAGTAGCATCACACCAATAAGAAAACTTTTTCAAACTCCCAAGGAGTTCATGAACAGAATTTTGAATCGGTCGATGATTGCCTTTCCCACTCTTTCGAACAATTTTATGGCCTGTATACGTGGAAAGCACTTTGGTATAATCTGTTTATCACCACAACCTTTTAACGATCAGGCTTCACTACACTCTCAATAAGTCTACATTTCATATACGCTTCCTTCATAGTCACCGACATATAGTAAATTAGGTAGCATACATCCATCCTCGAAATTCACGTCACACCACGAGCTAATGTTTGACATACTTGACTACATACTTCACACGATTGCTTTGATGTATCAAACAAATACGATATCCGACGCGATAACTCCTGATTGATTAAGATTGACGTTACTTGGCCTTGTCAGGCCTTTGTTACAACTTCGAAGACACCGATCACCACTAAGACTGATGGAGCTGTACGCTAGATCACAAAATAACAAAAAAACAGATAAATTTTATATTTCGCAACGTAAGTGAACAAGACAAAGCGGCTATAAGCAGATTTTCTGCCAAAAAAGAACAATCATTGAACACAGGCAGATTTTGACAATGCAACACGCATAAATGGTAATCTTGCGACTCGACATCACTGTACGATGGACGTTTTTTACGGCGGTATTGTAGCGATTGTAAACAATTTTGTTTTGTATTGGCTAGGATTTAAGTACATCAATTTCGTAAACTTATAAACAAGTAGAACGCATGGGCATTGAGCTTAATATATGCAGGAAAAGGTGTAATATAAGCTATGACAAAGTTTTTTAGCTGTTTAAATTAAATGAAGAAAACGTCGTTTTCGGAAGCCAAGATAATGAAAGCCTAGGAAGTTCTTGGTCTGGCATCTTTGGAGCAATCCATAAACCCAGTCAACAACGGCAGATCTTCGGTGCTAGAAGTGCGGCAATCCTGCACGATCTTTAGTATAATGTTAGCTGATATACAAGGCTATGACGTTCACAATGAACTTTGACTTTACGACTAACAATTAAAGTTAATCTTGATATATTCGATGCGTCGATTATATAGTCGCTTCTTTAGAAGTTAAGATTGTTTGACTAGCTACTATTAGAGGAATAGCTTTCGCGACCAAAATTATTACAGGCCTACTGGGAGAAAATGGCAAGATGTTTGACGATACAAATGATCACGTTGATTCCTCAAGCCCCGAAGCAGCGCCTGCATTTCACTGAAGCCTATGTTATCATGCCGTTTCCTGTTTAAATAGACCTCCCCAAGGGTAAGGTGCTCATCATGCTTCACCCCGACCATGCAAGTTGTGCACACAAGTTGTATTCCTTAAGAAGAGGATGTTACGAGCGATATTTTCGACAAGGTCCAATTCAATACCAGTGAGCCGGACAGGACCCGGCCTAGTGAGCAAAGCTTGCTCGCCCTAAAATACAAGAGTTGCTATAGCATCCATCACGTCGTGATAAGGATTGAGAACAGACCGTCCCATTAAACACAAAAAGGTGCGCTCAAATTTTGCCTCGAGAGCGACTACTGATCCAGAGATCACCCCTCAGAGCTACCGCATAGGGCTAGATGGGTAAAACAGTGCACTCCATGAAGTTGATTTCGTGATACAATGATTTAACGACGGCACCAAGAAGTGCGTAAGAGATAGTAGCTTTGGCTGAAGAAGTAACGTCTTCCACCCTCTTCAATGCCTTAAGTCCAATCTTGAAAAACAGACGTTGACACAGAGCTGACCTGTCGTGTGTTTTACACATAATTATATATTCTGGGTACGCAGAATTATGCTGTTATACAGCAAAATTTGAAACAGTTAAAAGGCTGTTCAAGCTCAAAAAGAAAGGAACATACAACTGTGCTAATAAAGTCGTTGTACTCCAAACCTCTGAACTGTATATCAAGCGTACAGCATCGTTGATGCGCAACGTCACCGTTTTAATGTGTTGCCATTTGCAGCCTGGTGACCAATATCACATCTACCACTACCGCACACCGTTCAGTCTTGTCTTTTACCGCAATTAAAAAGGATCTGCCAGAACAATATGCCGTCTTGGCTTATCCATTCAGAAATCTAGCAAAGAAAGTCAGCCATCTTGTCAGCTATGTGTAAGTTGAGGTGACGATGTCGTTGAGCAGGCTAGTGCACGACATGTTTATCTCGCAAATGGTGTCGAGCGAATCAGATGTACTCGATGTTCAATAAGAGTGGACACCTATTTTCTTGAGCTGGGCAAAAAAAATCGGACGACATTTAAATTCAGTCGCATGACCATCATAGTCTGCTTTGATTAAAGCCAATAGACAAATGTCATAGACGATATGAACTAGTTGGTACGAATCCGAAAAACAAAAAAGAGCCTAGCAATTTGTAAGAAACTTGGTGAGGGATTGTGTTATAGCGTCACACTTGTGTGCTATAATGCGCAAGTCTTTCACTTCGCCAAGCCTTTCCTTCGAATCATATGAATTAGTGACATTACTTAATAAACGATTACTATCATCTTAACCAAATGTGCACAAAGACCATCTTCTCAATAAAAGAGAATATGCGACACCCAAAAAAACTAGCTAA